GTGTGTGTGTGTTTGTGTGTGTGTGTGTGTGTGTCTGTGTGTGTGTGTGCGTTTGTGTATGATACCTACTGGGGACATTCCAAAACTCAATCTTTCTAATACGCTCAGAACTACTGGTCCTCAGTCTGAGGTACTTACAAGAATGTGTGTGTGTGTGTGAGTGTGAGTGCGTGTGTGTGTGTGTGTGTGTCTGTATATGTGTGTGTGTGTGTGTGGCCCACCTGACAGCAGCATGGGGTCCTTATCCACAGACTTGCGGACGTGGTCGGACTCCCCGGTGAGCGAACTCTCGTCGATCTTCAGGTCGTTTCCCTGGATCAGAATCCCGTCGGCCGGCAGCAGGTCGCCTGGAAAACGTGCTCAGTTATATTCACTCATTTCTATTTATTCACATTAAAAAGTAACCACTGAGAAGAGCGCGACTGATAACTACCGGAACTCACAGAGAGGAGGTTACAGTTTGTAGAAATACTCCTAGAAAACGTCAACCTCTCTTCAGTTAGATTCATTCATACTGATTTTAATTATTTAACTTTTGCTTAGATGCACGTTTTTATTATTTTTCATTTGGTTTCGGAAAGGAGAAGCTACACTGGGAAGATTAAGCTTGTAAATTTTTGGAAAATCTGGAAGATTTTCTGTAATTCCCTTGAAAAAAGTAGATGTAAAGAGTTAAACTGAAGATTATTATTATTTAAACTTTTGTTTAAAAAAAAAACGATGGTGGGAAAATAATTTTTAAAGAGATCATTAAAAAACACCTTTATTGTGCAGCTTTTAGAGGTGATTTAGAGAAAAATAGAAACAGGAAGTCTGTGGGTGTAGATAATACACATTAAAGTTTTGACACATCTGGAATATTTCAGTAATTTTCTGGAAAAAACTTATCTTGAAGTAGATGTAACGAGTTAAATTGAAGATTATTATTTATTTATCTCGTTATAGCTTAATTTAGTATTCGTATTTGGATATTGTTTTGTGGTTTAAAGTGCTTTAAAGTGCTTTTTTTTCCTTTCTTTACTTAAATTAGCTTTCTTATTCCTTATCATAATTATTTCTATTACTATTATTGCCATTGTTTTCTTGTTTGTGTCTCTTTGTTCTATGTTGTTTACAGTCTGTAAATTGACAAAATGTGCAATAAACTTTTAAACATTTTTAAAAGTCAAAGTGGGAAAATAATTTCTAAAAGAGATCATTAAAAAACACATTTACTGAGCAGCTTTGAGAGGTGATTTAGAGAAACATAGAAACAGGAAGTCTGTGGCTGTAGATAATACACATTTAATTGTTACATTTTTAGACAAAACGAGTAACTTTAGAGGACACGTTTGGCTTCTTATGGCTTACTTGAGGTGTTTGTGTTCATGTTTTAGACAAAAGTTGTAACTTTTGGCTTATTGGGACTCATTTGAGGCGTTTGTGTTTAACTAATAAGTTTAACTTTTAGACCAAACGTGTAACTTTAGAGGACACGTTTGGCCTCTCTGGGCTCATTGAGGTGTTTGTGTTCAACTTTTGGACAAAATTAGTAACTTTAAAGGACACGTTTAGCTTCTTTGAGCTAGTTTGAGGTGACTAGTTTAACCTTATGATACCAAATGTATCATATTTGATTCATACGGTTTCTGAAATGTTTTGCGTCTGACACCTTTTTCATAATTTAGTGGTTAAAACTTTGCTCAAAATCCTATTGTACACAATCAGATACACCTGATAACAGGGGGCAGAAGACTACACAAAAAATAATCTTGACTTATCGCATAGTAATAAATTTTTTTTTCTTTTTACATATTTTGTAAAAAGACCAAATAAAGACCTTAAAACAAAAAAAAAGTAATTTTCAGTTTTGTTTCATTCTTGGATCAGGCTTTAACGGGTTAACTTAGACCAAACGTGTAACTTTGGATGCCCCGTTTGGCCCTTTTGGGCTAGCTTGAGGTGTTTGTGTTCAACTTTTGGACAAAACGTGTAACTTTGGATTACCCGTTTAACTTTAAAGGACGTGTTTGTATTCTTTGGGTTGACTTGAGGTGTTTGTGTTTATTTCTTAGGCAAAACGTGTTACTTTAAAGGACACGTTTAGCTTCTTATGGCTAGCTTTAGGTGTTTGTGTTTATTTTTTAGACA